AATGCCGTATCCACAGAGACACCACACAGCAAACAGACTCTGCACTAATCCACCCAGGCAAATTACTCCAAATTAACCAAAAAGGACTCCTGACAGGTGTCTTCCAGGCTGGCAATCCATGAAAATCTGCAGCCAGGAGAGGCCTGAGGAGAAGAGGAGGCTGCCATTAGTGGAGAGGCGGAGATAGGAAGGGCTTCAGGGAGGGGAAGGTGGCACCTCACTGGATGGGTGCACTTGTAACCTCTGGAACCCTCTCCACACCATGCACAGACTGTCCAGCTCTGCCTGTGACCAAATCCAAAGCAGCAGCATAACTCTGCAGCCAATAGATAAAGAAGCTTTTACCAGATCAAACAGATGAAAGTCTAATGTGGGCATTTCCTCTGGCAGAGCTGTTGCTCCAGGGAGTGTGCCCACTTCATCCCTGTGGATGCCTGGATTTGAAGTATTAAAGATGCAACACTTATTTTTACCTGAAATAGTTTGAGGTTTAAACAGAACTCTCTCTGGCTGTGTCGATTYGCTGTTGCTGGCTTCTACCCCCTCACATTCACAAATCCTGCCTGTGGCCCTCCAAGTCAAGGTGATAGCCAGGGCTGGAAGGCATGCTGAGACCCTGGTGCTGTAACCTCCGGTGGCATGGCCTTGAGTTGACCTCCCAAAGCCTGTTTCCCTGGTAAAATGGGGCGGTAACTGTAGGCTGGCAGTAGGTACATACAATAGAGTACTAGCTGACTACACCATACCAGGCTTTCAATAAACAAAATCTTGGGAATTCTGTGTCTTTATAGCTTCAATTGCAATTTTTATTTCAGGATTGGTCCCCGTTGGGCCTCAGATGTAAAGCCTACTCTCAAAACACACAGGCAGGCCAAGCACAGTGGCCAGGCACCAGTGTTACGCCTGTCCACAGACAGCCTCCTTAAGATGCTTCTGCATTTCCTCTGCATTGAGTCACTGAGGTTAAGCTGTGGAAATCAAATGCCTGCATCACCCTCTCTGGCACATGCCACACCCACAATGACTTTGCTGAAGGGGTCATTTTGGACATGAGCAGATGAGGCCCTGAGAAGCATGGCATCGTCCTCCCAGCAGGTGTGTTCCAGGGTAGCAGCCTCTAGTTATGTAGACAGGGTGGGTCTTATAGCCACACACCTCCATCATGGCACTGCAGTTTCGGGTGGCTTGATTTTAGGCACACACACTCAGCAGGCTTTTTTAAATACAGAGGACATAGGAAAGGTGTGGAAATCCCTTGTATCCTACCCAAGAGATAACTATGTTAGCCTAGGTGGATTTCCTCAATTTGGCATTGAGGTTGCTCCAGGTGGGTGACATGCAGATGCCACTCCACTGCTAGCAGAGTGCAGAAGGCCCTTACACCTGACTGAGCTGGCAGACAGCCCACCTCCTGGGGCAGGAAGGGATGGGCAGGGACCAGACTTCTGGCAGTAGCAACACACACAATGATGGCTGACCCCTCTTTGTGGAGCTGTCCTGGGCATTATCACCTCTTCAGCAGCAGCACTGGCCTCCACCAGCCAGCAGCACACCCTCTTTGACTATGGATGTGCCCCTGGGGGCACATCCTGTTAAGATGCCCCCCTGTTAAGATGCAGCATGCCCATGAAGTTTCCACCACTGCTGCACCTCACAGGGCCGCCTCCTGCTCAGACCTCCTGACCTGACACCCATCCTTCACCATAAGTAGTCCACTGAACTCTGCTGCCTAGTGCGCCCAACCCTTAGGCTGGTAATTCTGTTACCAGGGATCTTAAACACAATTTCTCTTTGTGTTTTGTTTTCTGAAAAGTGAAAAGCATAGTGAATTGCCAACCTCCTTTCTTTCTGACCTATGTGTTTGGGATTTTGAAGTCTCCTACAAATTTCATTGTGGATACTAACAACCCAAAGCATGCATTCTGCAGGTCTGTGCTCAGTTGGCAGCACTTTTGTTTTGTTTTGTTTGGGTACCAGGGATTGAACCCAGGGGCACTCAACCACTGAGCTACATCTCCAGCCCTATTTTGTATTTTATTTAAAGACAGGGTCTCACTGAGTTGCTTAGTGCCTTGCTTTTGCTGAGGTTGGCTTTAAACTCACCATCCTCCTGCCTCATCCTCCCTAGCCACTGGGATTATAGGCATATGCCACTGCACCCGACTCAGCAGTTTGTTTTTGAGTTGGGGTCTCACTGTGTTGCCCAGGCTGGCCTCAAACTCCTGGGCTCAAGCCACCCTCCTGACTCAGCCTCCCTGATGGCTGGGACTACAAGCATAGACTGTTCCAAAGGCATGAGAAATATGTGTATTTAACGGCCTAATAATTCAACACACCTGACTTTGGTCACTTCCAAAGACTGATTCTTTGAAACAATGGCTTAAGGAAGAGTAAGCCTGACTTGTCCCTATTTTCTTCCCCACTTTCTGACTGAGACCAGCCCACCAACAATTCCTCCTGAGGCTTCCATGACCCCTCTTGCTGTTTCTTATGCCAACCAAGTCCTGAGGGCAGCAGTGGTTAAGAGCTGGGTACAGCCCCTCTAGAACGTCCTTGTGCTCATAGGCCTAGGACCTCCTTCACAGAGCTCTCATTCAGCAGGTCTGGGTGGTGCCCTGCTGAGGAGCCCTAGGAGAGTGTTAGCCTGGGACCACACTCTGAGCCGTAGGGTTCCCACAGGATTCCAGAGAATGCTGCACCCCACCTGGTGCTCAAGGCCAGCCTGGGGACACTTACACCCTACCTTCCCATGGAAGGGCTGCTTGTTACCCAGAGCCCAAACCTGCAGTTTCCCCCCTTCCCTCCCCACTCCCAGAATGCTGTCCATTGCTCCACTTCGTCCGGGTTGGAGCTCCTCCCCTCACCATGCTCCTCCCTCTCCCACCCATAAACAAGGTTTCCCTAGATAGGGCAGCATGTGATCATGGAAGGCCTGACTCTTCCGAAGTCCAAAGACTGCATTCAGTTTTCAGAAGTTCCCCTTCAAAGAAAGCCACTCCTCTGCCCAGGCTGCTGTGGAGTGTGGCTCCCTGGCACTGTTCTCAGCTTGCTCACCCCACATGTGTCCATTTGGGAGTCCATCTACAAATCTGACTCTCTGCCGAGTCTGGTGCCTCTCTCATGGGTAGGCATTGTGACTCTGAGCCTTTATGGCCTAGCATTAGCCCCCTGGCCTGTAACAAGATAAATATGTAACAAAAGTAMATGAAAATTAAATTTGGGGGAATGAAGTTTGGCGATTTGTTCCAAAGGCATGAGAAATACCTAATAATTCAATTTTTAGGTGTTGATTTTCAATAAATGATACAAAACTAAGCAAATTTGGGAAACAGGGCATTATATGAAAACTAAGCATTGGAAACATCTTAAATATTCCGCAAAAATAGAATGATCATAAATCAAGCCTATGACATGAAGTTTTTTTTTTAATTTTTTTTAAAGAGAGAGTGAGAGAATTTTTTTTTAATATTTATTTTTCAGTTATCGGCGGACACAAGATCTTTGTTTGTATGTGGTGCTGAGGATCGAACCTGGGCTGCACGCATGCCAGGCGAGTGCGCTACCGCTTGAGCCACATCCCCAGCCCCTGACATAAAGTTTTAAATTGTGTTTTTTTGTTTGATTTGGTTTGTTTTGGTACCAGGGATTGAATTCAGGGGCACTCTACCACTTGGCCACATCCTCAGCCCTATTTTGTATTTTATTTAGAGACAGGGTCTCACTGAGTTGTTTAGCACCTTGATATTGCTGAGGGTGGCTTTGAACTCACAATCCTCCTGTCTCAGCTTCCGGACCGGCTGGGATTACAAGTTAAAATGTGTTTTCTAAAAACACAATGAMAACGTTAATCATGCAACAAGCAGTGACAAAAGCAGGTTGCAAAACTGGACAAACAGCATGGTCACATTTCACGACATATGAATACACATGCAGAGAGGTGGAGGGCACCTACAGCACCCAGGTTTCAGGTGAGTGGAGTCCCACCACGTCAGGGATCTCTACTTTCGCCTCCTTGGATACACCATGTTTCTCGTGCAATGAGGTTATGGCAGCATTATAATTATGTAACTTGCAAATTACAAAAACTGGGAGAACACAACAGTCTTTTTATTGTTATTATTATTATTGTTTGCTTGGCTTTATGGCTGAGCCACATCCCCAGCCCTTTTCTTATTTTGACGTAGGGTCTGCTAAATTGTCCAGGCTGGCCTGGAACTTGCGGTCCCGCCTGAGGTCTCTGGGTAGCTGGGAGTACAGGCCTGCACCGTCGAGTCCGGTTTACAACCGTGTTTTTAAAACCCCKTTCTTTATCTGACTTCTTCACTAAGTCAAGAGTCAGGCTGTATCTTGGTTTCTTTCACTCTTTCCGATGCTTATTAACAAGTCCTTAGGGACGTCGCTAATAATCGGTGCCACCTTTCTCCACATTTCTTCCTTTTTTATATTAGCTGCCTTCAAGTCTCCCTCTCATCAGAGGGGCGTTCTTACCTGTTCCTGTCCCKTTTCATTTGGCCTGAGCTTGACTGCGCCTTTTCTCCCACCTGCAGCCTGGCAGTTAGTGCGGGCAGGTGATGCCCACTGAGATCAGGTCTCCGCAGGTTCTCCCCAGCACCCTTATGAGTAATTACCCAAGACGACGGCAAGTGAGCTCCTTTCCCAGGCCTCCTTTGGAGGCAAACCAAACGAGTTCCTCCACCCGCCTCCCGCCCCGCAGGTCGGCGGTGCTTCTATTCCCAGGCTCCGGGAACGCGGAGAAACTTGACGTTACTGCGAACAGCAGTCGGGTGGGGGCGTAGCCGGGTCCTCCCGGGCTAGGGAAGGCGGGGAGGTAGGGAGGCAGGGTGCAAACAGGGCTTGGGGAGACAGGGAGGTGGAGAGGCGGGGCGTGGGAAGACCAAGAGGCGGGGCGTGAGGAGGCGGGGCGTGGGGAGGCGGAGCGGCGCGCACCAGCGTCCCCGCGCTCCTCCCGCGCGCGGCCCCTGGAGTCCCGGAGGCGCGCGGCCAGGCCAGCTCCGGCCCGCGGCACACCAGGCAACCCGTCGCCCCAGCGAGCGCGGGCCGGGGCCGGAGCCGGGCCGACGGCTGGGGGCGTCGCCCCCAAGAGTCTTTCTGCGGCCCCTGAGCTTTGAGGGCGAAACGAGACTGATCGGGGYCGAAACCATGAACCGGAGTTTTCACAAGTCTCAGACCCTGCGCTTGTACGACTGCAGCGCGGTGGAAGTCAAGAGCAAGGTAAGCCCAGGAGGGCTGCCCGACGATCTGCACCCCTCCCCTGGCAAACGATCGGGCTCCCCGCGGAGGGGGACCGGAGCGGAGGGGGAGGCGACCGGCGCCAACTTTCGAGCTCCGGCACCGCGCGCCACTGTGCGCTGGGTTCGTGGGATGTGCATGGGGGACCCCGGCCCTTCTTCCCGCCCCCTGCACAGACACAAAGCCTGGCAGCCTCAGGAGGGTCTTGTGGGGACTGAGGGCTGTCGGACAGTCAGTGCACGCTCCAGACCCGCTCCGCGAGAGCTGCTCTTTTGTTACACGGTAAGAGGCGACCCGGGCGCGCCACACGTTAAGGGAGGGCGGCGTTTCCGGGGCGAACTGGGGGACGGGACTGTGCGGATTCCGGGCTGTGGAGGGCCCGGGGAGGGACCCTGCTGTGCCGCCTCCTTGACTATGAAGAAGCCTCGTTACCAGCGAGGAGGCTGGTCGCTGGCTACAGGGGCAGGGCCGGGCCCGCCACCCAACCTGGCTCCGTGTACCAGATTCCCTGGCCCTGGTCGTGCCCCTAGCCCCCACCCCTGGGGCACGCCCCTGGCCGAGATCCAGCCACCCCCACCCCCAAACGTGCCCCCCCACTCAGACACCTCGCCCGGGAGTGCCCCCAACTCAGTTCACACCCCAAGTCTGAGACGGCCCCTGGCCCATACATCCTCACCTCCGTGGGCGCTCAGACCTKGACCCGCTACAGGACGCGCATCCCCGGGCCAGACCCAGACCCCCACCCTGGGCGCGCCCCAGCTCCTGATGCCTGCGCCAGGCTGAGCGTGCCCTAACTTGCGGGCGCAGTGTGCGTGTCTGGGTAATTGGTTGATAGGATCTGGCGCTTCTGCCCTTTGCGGGGGCGGCTKCTTCTCAGCAGACTCTTTTGTCTGGGAGGGTCTCTGTGGTGGACGCACGGGGCAGAGGAGGAGCTGCGGTTACTCGTGGCCCTGTGGGAGAGGGGCCCTTAAYCCTTTTGCTGACTGCTGCCGGAGAACTGAGTGGCCCGCTCACCCTTTCTGGCTGCGTACCCTTTCTCGGTAAAGTGAGGTGGAAGCTGCCAGAGTGGTGGGAAAGGGGCCGGGCCACTAGCTCTGTGTTCGTCTTGGGCACAGGACCAGTGTTTTCTCGCCTGGGCTCTGGGAAGGCGAGTCCCACCCTAGACTACAGGTGGCCCAAAGGATCCATCGGTGTAGGATTTCCAGGGCCCTYACAGGGGTTCGTCGGGGACCTAGCCAGGGGCATGGCCACATCCCGGAGTTGCGGGATTTCCTTTCCTCTTGGGAAGACGCAGTCATTTTTGGAATTCCTGCCCTTTCCCCAAATGCTAATTCGGTAATCCCTGTCATGCCCATCTTCTCTGGTCCAAACCCATAGATCCGGTGTGCTATCCATGGGTTGTGAAGGAAGGACCCGCAGTAGCAGAGGGAGTTTGAAGAATCTGCCCTATTGAGCTCTGGACAGTAGCCACTAAGCCCCTAGTGTTTGGGGTTTCTTGTTTTGAGATCATTGTAGTTCACCAACAGTTGTGAGAGAAAATAGACCCCAAGACTCTTCAYCCTGCCTCCCCCAAAGCTGACATCTTATGTGACTGCCAACTGTGGATACCAGCACAGTGCTGAGTGCTCACTTGTGTGGCCACAGCTCAGTCAGGTACAGGGCCTTTCATCACAGGGACCTCTCCTGCTGCCTGTTGTTTCAATCTCAGTGAGTTGGTCAGTGTGGAACACTGTTCTGTGGTCAGTAGCTGTGTGAGGTGCCTTTTCAAACACAGCAAGGCCCGAGGTCAGATCTGGAGGTGCTCCCACTGGTCCTGACCCTGCAGTTCTGGAACTGGGCCTGTGCAGGCTGCCAGGGCTAGAGCAGGGATCTGCCTTTGCCTGTCCAGGGTGTTAGTCTGCCTGCCTCTTCCAGCCCTGCTCAGTGGAGAGGTGCTGCCCCATGCCCCACAGGAAACTCAAGTTCAAGAGCAGTGAGTGTCATGGCCGGAGTCTGGACTTGGGAGTCCTCAGGAGGCCTCATGGACCTGGGCCCCCTGAAGTAGCTGTCATATCTCCTCCTGTCACAAGGCCCGACTTGCTGCTTGTCAGAGGGCCCACATGGCTCTTCCTTCTGCACATGCCCTCCCACAGGTACTTACTGTGGAGTCTTCTCTGCAGAGAGTGACTGTTGTCACCATATAGGAGGCAGAACTTCATGAGATTAGGACTTAGTGCAACCTGGACGGAGCACCACAGAGCATGGCAGTCAGAGAGCTGAGTGGACCTGGGTCCTGCCACCTGCCACCTTTGGGGCTTTCAGACAAGTCATTTCACCTTCCCAGCTTCAGTTGTGTAAAGTGAGCATCATATCTGATTTGCTTAGTTTCCAAGATGGAGAGAGTCAATGAATCTGAGAGCAATCTAAGACTGAGCAGAGCCCACCATGGCAAGAGCTCATTTCTGTGGATCAGGATCCATCCTCTGGCATTTCGAGATCTGGGCTGAAAAGTTCTTCAGGCCCTCTCATGTCTAAAATATATTAATTTAACCAATCTCTCACTCAGATTACTTTCAGTTTTTTTTTTTCCATAGTAAAACAGTGTTTTTAAGTCTTCACATAAAGGAGTGTGTGTGTGTGTGTGTGTGTGTGTGTGTGTGTGTGTGTGATGTGAAGATTATTGGTTCTGTTAAGTCAGTGCAGGGCTCTTATTGTTTGTTTAGGACAAACCCCTAGAAGTAAAATTACTTGGAAGAAAGGTATGCACATTTGTGGGCCTTTCTGTGTGTGTGTGTTTGTGTGATGCTGGGATCAAACCTGGGGCCTCTGTCATGCTAGGTAAGCACTTGGTATGCACATTTCTAAGGCTAATAAATATTGCCGAATGTTCTGGGCACTCATTTCTGCCAGTTTCTATGCTGTTTGATATCTGTCCATCCATCTCCCTCTCCTCTTCTTCTCCCAGTGCTGGGCATTTTCTCATACCTTCCAGACTATGTAAATAAAACCATGTCCCATTGTTTGAATTTGCATTTCTTGAGTGATTTGAAGGTTTTCACATGTATTGGCTATTTGTATACCTATTTTTAATTTTCTGCTCTTGTCTGTATCATTTTCCTATCAGTGGACTTTTTGAGTTATAAGAGCTGCTAATGCAGGTGGTGCTGAGTGGAGCTGGTGTCCTGACTTTAGAGGGGCCTTGCCCTCGGCATTAGCTCTGCACTCCCAAAGGGTGGGAATAAGCTGGCACAAGCTGATCCTGTGCTGGCTGGCCAGTCTGCTGGGGACATCTGGGCACAGTGCCTTATATTAGCATGTCTCCTCTGATCCCCAAGATATTATCGCTAGCTGATCTCATTGGCCACCATGGTGCTTCAGGGGCACACCCTTCCTTCTGAGATGAGACATGGGGTGAGATGGAGCCCAGGCCAGCCTCCCTATTGAGTGGCTGGGGACCTGCCTTCCGTGGGCCAGTTGAGAACTGCCTGGACACGGTTTGACTCATCTGTGTGTCAGTTACACCCTCTTAAGACTCTGGTTTGCTGTACTATGCATGTATGTGTTCAAACAGGTTCAGGGACTTGGTCTGGGAAGTGGCATCCAGAGGAGACTTGTCAGGAACCCAGGTAGCACCTCAGTCTGGGGGCATGGTGGCATCAGTGTATCCAGAAGGCTGCCCACCTCTTGTGGGTAGGATCTGAGTGGTAAAGCGTTCTGACAGCCTTCCTGGGGCACCACACCTGGGCAGGGGGTCAAGCCCTTTCCTAGGACCAAGGGCACTTCAGATACAGGKCGGAGTCCTCCCAATTTTATGGAAGGGGAGAGTGATGGTGGTAGAACTGCTGGGTGGCTGGGTTTGTCCAGTTGGCTGTTTCCATGTCAGATCCATGTCTATTCGCGCTCCCCAGTTCCTCTTGGCAGATTTTAGTTGTACATGAACCTGGGAGCCCAAGGAAGTGCTGGCTCCTTCACAGCTCATCACCCCACCCCACCCCTGCCAGCCTCTTCCCAGCRCACTCCAGGGCCCTTCTCTGCAGTTGCCCCTGAACACTGTCTACAGTTCAGAGGTTACGTTCTAGAACAATTCTTTTTTTTTTTAATATTTATTCTTAAATTTAGGTAGGCGCTATCTTTATTTTACATTTATGTGGTGCTGAGGATTGAACCCAGTGCCTCGTGCATGCTAAGCGAGCGCTCTACCACTGAGCCACAACCCYAGCCCTCATTCTAGAACATTTCTTAATGTTTATTTAATGTTCCCCATATATATGTGCATATATGTGCCAGATGGGTTCCACATGTATTGCAAGTGTAAATGACAGTTCGTCAATCCCTGTGACAACCTGTAAGAAAGACTGTCTCACACTCTCATCATGCATAAAAAGACACTGGGCCACGGGCTCCTCTGACCTACCCAGGGTCATAAAGCTCAGCACAGGGTCTGAAGCCCACAGAACCCACAGCCTGACTCCAGCATCCACAGTTGGGCCACTGTCTGCTGTTGGTGGAGAAGGCTTGTGGCTCTTAGGAACTACAGACCATGGATTCCGGACCAAGGCATAGATACAGGTGTCCCAGCCGCCCCTCTGTAGTGTAAGAGGCCCTGGTTGTCCAGGTCTAGAGCTCACGGAAGCACTGGGAGTGTGCCTTGTGCTTAGGGAAAGAAGCTCCATCGTCCTTGCACACCTTAGGTTCCTGCCGCCAGCCTTTCAAGGAGGGCCTCTGTTTGGAGTCTGTTCTCTCAAGTCCAGTCCCACCCTCTGTCCATTCATTGGCTTATTTGCTTGCTCCTCGATTGAGCATCTGCCACATGCCAGGCACAGGGCCCTCGCTGGGATACAGAGACAGCCAGGGTTGACATCATCCCTGCCTCCGTAGAGCACGTGGCAGATGTGGCACAGTGGTGGGGTCCTTTATCACCACATTCAAATCCTTAACTTCGTAACTTTGTGAAGCCAGATGCCCCAGGGCCACCCGGTTGGCCCTCTGTCTAACAAGGCCAG